TATAAACAATTGTAAAAATAAAAAATCTAAATTGACAGGCGCATTAACAGCGAACGAAATCGACAATGCTTTAATGCTTTTAGTAAAAATAGCTCAAAATGAATCATTCGACAACGATATCAAAGGTCTCAAACAATCTAAAATATTGCCTGCTAAATCACGCCTTAAAAATTTGGATCCATTTATCGATTCCCATGAGCTACTACGTGTAGGTGGGAGATTGTCCAACTCAAATTTAGAATATAAAGCGAAGCATCAACTTATCCTTAGCCAACATCATACATTAACCCGCCTAATAATTGTCAATGAACACCATAGAAATTTACATGCAGGATCTCAAACGGTTTTATACTCTATTCGTCAACGATTTTGGATTTTAAATGGCAGATCCACCATCAGAAATATCATAACTAAATGCCTAACATGTTTTCGTATAAATCCAATAATTTTTAAACAAAAAATGGCTAATCTTCCCACTGATCGGGTTATTCCAAATCGACCGTTTTATATTGTGGGTATGCTGGGCCGTTTAATATTAGAGATGGTAAATTAAGAAATCGTGCCATCATAAAGGCGTATCTCTGCGTATTCATCTGTTTTACGAGTAAGGCAGTGCATTTAGAATTGGTAAGCGATCTAAGTACCACAGCCTTTCTCAATGCACTAAAGCGGTTTGTGTCACGTCGAGGGCTACCTCAGAGGATATACAGTGACAACGGAGCTAATTTTATCGGGGCTAGTCGGGAAATCAGAGACCTTTACTCGTCTGTAAACAACATTGTCAACGAACGTGAAATTCTCGATTGGTTTCTTAAAATAATATTCAATGGAATTTTATTCCACCTTACTCACCTCACCGTGGTGGTTTGTGGGAGGCTGCTGTACGTCAAGCCAAATTCCATTTTAAACGAATTGTAGGCAAACAAATATTAACCTTCGAGGATTTTTATACCATATTCACCCAGATAGAGGCAATAATAAACTCACGACCTCTGTACCCGTTATCAAACGATCCGCAAGATATTTCCGCTCTCACTCCTGCCCATTTCCTTATCGGCCAACCATTAAACACTTTACCTCAAACAGACTGTACAAACCTGCCTGAAAATCGCTTGAAGCAGTATCAATTGCTTCAAAAGGCGGTTCAGCTGTTTTGGAAGCGATGGAGCCATGACTATCTCAGCCAATTACAACAGCGATCTAAGTGGCTTCAAAAAACGTCAAAGCGTAAAATCAAGATTAACGATATGGTTATCCTTATCGACAACAATTGTCCTACATTGTATTGGAAGCTGGGCCGAGTGGTGCAGGTGCACCATAGCAGTGATGGGTTGTGCAGAACCGTAACCGTGCGCACCTCAACTGGACTTACTGATCGTGCTGTGCAGAGAGTGTGTGTCTTGCCAATTAACGATCACCAAAACTAACGTATGTGAAGCATGTGTTGGAAACTGAAGAACTACAGTGTTCCAAGAGCGGCGGCATGTCGCGTCCGAAGCTTTTATGTATATGGGTCCCCGTACTACAACCCGGGACCACGCCTGGATCATCCCATTTTTTCACTGATGAGGGGAGTCGGGATATATCAGGGGAGAGAATCGAGGCTAACGAGCGTCACTATCGAGCAAGAGAAGAAGCGAAGAACGTGATCGCAATAACGCACAGTATTTTATATTCATTTTAATAGTTAAATCAGTTGTAATAGTTGAATATATATATACATAAAGAAATTCAATCGTCTAAATTACTGAACCAGACATCGAAATCTCACATTTTGAACTAAGCATATATTTCCTTGCTTTCACACTGTAACTAGAAAAAATAAGTTGCTGTTAAATGTATAATAATAATAATAATATAATAATCTTTATTTCTCAAGTCGTACAAAAAAATACATTCCTTATGTTAAATAATATAATAGTTACCTAATTAATACAAATATTTACAAACTGCCAGACACAATTTGTTTAATAAATGTACACCGTTTCAGTTCTGCAGTGACTGCATTTTTTCATTTCTAGGACAGCATAAATAAAGTAGTTAATTAATAATAAAAAAAGCCACGGTGTATATTTTCATTTGTTTTTACAGTTTTTTTTTTAATTTACATCTTTTAAAAAATGAGAAATATATTCATTTTATAGAATATTTATATTTAAAATCAATAAAAAATAATCAAATTCCAACTCAAGAAATAAATTGAAAGACCCCAGAAGTCCGAAAACTTGTACGGGGTGTCTATCAAAGTAGCTTTGTTTGAAATAGTTAAATGTTTGAATTAAATAAATATATGTGCTTCAATTATAAATAAAAAATATAATACTAGTTAATAAGTCAAATTAAAAACTACTGTAAAGGAGACTCTCGAACGCACCTGAGCTTGGTCGACGGGAATGCTACGTCTGCACTTTTGGCGATAGACGCGGACCACCGTGGAAAAATAGGTTGTCAGACGATCGGTGACGGTAGAATGAAAAGACAATCATTGATTCGTTTTTATTTTAGTGTGACATAATATCTTATATTTTCTTTTAATTGTTCAATAAATAGTTGAGTGCAAATACTAAATATTTGTTTCCTTAACATAATCAGAAGTGAGATCTGAACTCGTGTGTTTTAAAACATTATTTGTTAGTGAAGATAAACATTGAGATTGACACTTTTTGTGCTTCTTGTGTATTGTTGAAGAAGAAAAGGACAATAGCGAAGTTATAAATACTCTGGTGAGTGACTGTTCAATATTGTAGCCTAAGTTAACCTGCATTTAATTAAATATTAGCTAGTATTTTGGCCTTAAACTCATTAGAACTTATCCGTCTGAAAACGAAATTGCATAATATATTACGGAATTATTCTTGAAAATATTATATTATTAAACCCTCAAAAAAAAATCACGAAAAGTAGTGAGCATGGAATCTCCGCATAATTATAAAAATCGACGACTGCGTTCCCGTTCTCCATCTCGAGAGCGTTCTCATTATAACAGCAATAATCGCAGATTAGAGGAAAAATTTGAAAAGCGTTTCGAGAAACTAGAACAACTTATACTTAATAAAGTGGGAACCGGCGCATCTCCGGACTCAGAACATCGAACGCCTCCCGGCACACCGCCGTCGCTACGCCGCCGCCGTTCCAGATCAAGATCTCGCTCTTCGACGCCTAGTAGACCAACTCGTGATTCGAGGACGCAGCGGTCGGAGTCGAATAGTCGCAATCCAGTAGATTGCGTACCTCAGCGTTTTGTCGGTCGTACGGAACTTATACCAGAATTTGACGCCTCAACTCAAAGCATAACGATAACGCAATGGTTAAATAAAATCGATTCCGTTGGAGATCTTTACGGCTGGGATAATAAAGCGAGAATATTTTGCATGATAAGCCGTCTCAGCGGTAACGCAAAAGCTTGGTATGATTGTCAAACAGAAATAAACAATAACTGGCACGAATGGAAAGAAAATTAAAACAATTTTTCCTTCTGTTCGCTCAATTGCAACTAAATTAAAAGAATTTGTAAACTATGAACGTCAGCACAATGAAGATGTGGTTTCATTTTATAATAATAAACCGCGCTTGGGAAAACATTGTGATCTACCCGACCATGTCGTTACGGACGTCATCATATCGACATTAAATAATACTTATTGACAAGCGCCCAGGCAGCGGGTTGTAAAAACACAGACACGCTTTTAAAATTTCTAGTTGAGTCAAACTAATCCAGTATGTTATCGACACGAAAAACGGATCAAATAAATAAACATAACCGAGCGGGACCCAGTGGAGTTAATAAAAGAATTAATAATAATAAACATCATGTTACACTTGCGGCAAAACAGGTCACAAAGCTAAATATTGTTTTAGAAATAAAGCAATTGAAACTTGCTCTTACTGCAAGAAAACTGGACATTCCCGCGAAAAATGCTATAAATTAAAATCAGCTAGCGACACAGCAAAGATAAATTACATTTCTGAAAACGATAAGAAATATCACGTTACGGCAATGATTAATAATGAAGAAATATCATCGAATGTCGATTTTGGAAGTGCATGCACTATCATGAAAAAATCAAGCGCTGATGCTCTGGGATTATCTATCGATAAAAATAAGATAACATTTATGCAAGGATATGGCGGGGCTATTATACCTTCCTTAGGCGAAACAACAGCATGTATAAAAATTGATGATGTTGAACGAAGAGCTCCAGTGGTTATAGTAGAAGACACTGTTCAGCGAATGGATCTACTGGTGGGCAGAACTTTTACTGAATTACCCAAAGTATGCGTTATTAAACGAGATAACCACGACTGACTGATCTTTTAAAAAAATACGATGGATGTTTTGCTACAAAAACCTCTGAATTGGGATGCACTAAGGTGAGTATACATTAAAATACGCAACCAACCTTCATACAACCGGCCAATCAAATGAAAGGAGCAATCGTCGTAGATCGTGCGGTATCGCTGAAACTCGGTCCCGGAAAAAAAGCGGGAGAATTGATATTACAACCATAATTGACACTTGCAATTTTGCGCTTTTTGCATCTAACTGCAGCATTTTATATGGTTGTGTTTGAGTATTATTTATTTTTTCTGACTTTTTAGTTGTGAATAAATATAATAATTACTAAAATCAGCAGTTCTTATTGCTATTTATGCCCGATTCTACAATGCAAGTATAAAAGCCAGTATAATTATTCTACTGATAACCTATACCCCGATTTATTCCAAGTATAACTGGTTGTCGGTTTTACAATCGTTTTTTATAATCGGTATAGTTATTCCAAGTATATCTCCTTGGTAGTTCCAATGAACTAGCATTTTGACATTTATTTGAAAGGCGGGATATTATCTGTGGTATTATACACTATAACCTGACTTTCAGCTCTGTTTTCAGTAACGTTTTAGTGGTTTTCATGGGTAGTTCTTTATCTTTAGCGGTCAGCGGTTTCATTTTCATTTTTGTTTCTTGAGTGTGTGGTTTGCGAGCGAAAGCTAATATAAGTATGGAGAAAAAACGGTGTAATAATTTTACAGCCGACGAGACTGAAGTTTTACTGAGCTTAGTGGAGGAATCTCAGCTTATTGTAGGCAAGTGCAGCATATTGATTTCTTTATAAAGGACATCCGGTATACCGGACATCCTTTGGAATTGTATTTTCATATTACTTATTTTATAGAATGCAAGAAGACAGATACGATTAACAACAGCAGAAAAGAGCTAGAATGGAAGAATTTTGAGACTAAATTTAATTCGATCTGTGCAACAGCACGAACTTCTAAAATGCTACGTAGCAAGTGGGATTCTCTAAAAAAAACCACCAAAAAGGAATATGGAGAGTACAAACAAAGTTTATATAAGACAGGTGGTGGACCAGGAAGTTCTGACTTTAAAATGTCAGGCTATATGAAACGTATTTTGGCTGTAGTTCGGATTGGGATGTCTGGCACTTGTTCTAAGTTTGATTGCGATTTTGGTAATATTAGTTACTTCCATAACTAAAAAACTTGTTATAATGACATTTATATTTTTTACCCTAGATTTACCTAACAGTAGTAATAAGCTACTCACTGAAGACTCTAGCAGCATTTCCTCTCAGGTCCCTATTGTACCTACTGAAGTAATAAGTAATGAAGATATAGCAGCAGAGGAAATAACTATAGATAAAGACAGTTCTGATGCAGCTGAAATTGTAAGTACTGAATTTAAAATCTTTTAAGTGCATAAATAATTTTAGATAAGCTTGAGCAGTTGGCAGAAGTGGAATCCACAGCAGTTGAGGCAGCCGAAAAGTATCGAGTTGACAGTTCCTGGTAAGAATTTTCATAACTGATTGTTAAGGGTTTACTAAATGAATATTATTCTCCTTACAGAACCAAATAATACTGATTTAGAAGACACGAATGAACAGGTGACAAAAACTATTGGAGTAACCCCATGCTGTACGATAATATATTTGTATGTCATTAAATTAGTTTTATGTACTAATAATATTTTTTAGGGCTCAATGATGTCAAAAAAAGGAGGAGGGTTAGTAAAGTGGAATCCATTGTTCCAAATTAAAAAAATAAAGGGCAGTTCATTTTGAAACACTTCAAGAGGAATTACTGAAGAAAAAAATTGCCCTTGTAGAGTTACAAACTCAGGTTCTGCAAGAAGAGAGGGAGCAGAAAAAAGGCCTGATTGAGGCACAGATCAAAATATTAAGGGAGTGAAGCAGAACAAAAATAAATATTGCTGAAAAGCACAAGTTAGAAATAGATATATTGTTAGCTGAATTAAAAATAAAACTAACTTCTATTTAAGTAAAAGAATTGTTTCGTATATTTATTTATTCTATATAGCCTATATATTCTATTCATATAGCCTATCACGGAAGAATATAAAAAAATAATATTCTTCCGCAAATGTTTCTATAATAGTATTAAAATTAAAAAAAAAAAACTTTTTAAAATTTAAATATGTTACAAAGCCAGAAGAAACTTCAAATTCATTGTAGTGCCTATTCTGAAAATTAGTAAATTAATACAGTATGTCCCTGGATTGTCTTTAAAAAAGAAAAAAAAAACCTTTTTATTATTGGCATTTTAAGAAAAATGCATTCTTCATAAAATTTGCTTGTTCTAAAATGGTTAATCCTGTTTATACTTTTCCAAATTTCATACCGTTTTAGAGAGAAAATTAGGAAATGAGGCTTAAGGCTAAAGAAAAAGGCCACAGTGTCATATGTGTTTATATATTACAAAGAATATATAGTTATCATAAATTTGAAAAATGGTTGAGAATGAGGGATGCCCGCATTCGGTTTTGTTCTCGAACCATACCTACATTTGCAACAGGTACTGGTATGTCTACTTCTTGAACGTCCATTTCATGAGGTGGTTCTTCTTCATGTTCCTCAATTGCCAAATTATGTAGAACTGCAGTTGCTACTATTATTGCCTTTGAATGGTCCAATGATACACGCATCCCTAAAGATAAAATGGGAAATCTTCTTTTCCATACCCCATATGACCTTTCCACACAGTTACGTGTACGAATGTGGGATTCATTAAATAGAGAGCTTCTGCTCGAGTATTTGGATGTTCCAAAGGTGTGATTAAAAAGTTGGTGTTGCCATAACCACTGTCACCCAAAAGCACCGATGTTCCAAATCTTCCACTTTCCAATGTTCCTTTAAGTCTGCTATTATTATAAATAGTCTGATCATGGGAAGAGCCAGGCCAGCGAGCAACAATGTCCATTATCCTTAAACGAGCATCACAAACTGTTTGAACATTCCATGAAAAGTACCCTTTTCTATTTCTATACCTCTCCGCTTGATCACCACCCGGTGAAATAATGCGTACATGGGTACAATCAATAGTACCAATAACTTTAGGAAACCTTGCAATTGAATAAAATTCTTCTTTTATCCTCTGACACTCCATTTCTCCCTCTGGTAATTTAACAAATCTTGGTCGCAAAGAAGCAATAGCCTCTGTGACCTGAGTCACAATGATACAGGCAGATGTTTTGCTTACCCCTGTGAAATCACCTGTGGTAAGTAGCATACAACCTGTAGCATAAAACCGCAAAGTTAGAAAAATTTTTGTCTCAGGGTGTATGGCATTATTGCGATCTGTTGCTGATGTTATTTCATCTCGAATTAAACCTAACAGCATAGCACAGGTCTGTTTCTGCAACCGAAAACGCTTAAAAAATTCTAGTTCATCATATTCTTCAAAATAATTGGGCCTAAACATATTTTTTAGTTAGAAACTCTACGTATAAAATTGTAAATTCCTGACTATTACCTGACTTTGAACACTTTAGGATTCCTGTATAATCTGAACTCCTCAATTTCATCATCAGATTCAAAATTATTAGGCAAATTGAAAGGATCCATTTAAATATTTGATGAACGCAATTTAACAAAAAAATACAGTCTCTTAAACAAAACAAGCAAGTTAGGTTAAGTTTTTTCCGGAAAATGACGTGAGGAAACGGAATGGTACCAACCAATAGGAAGGCAGTATAAACTTATTCCTGGGATATACCATCAAACTGGAAGAGATAACTTACACCAGGTTTATACTTCAGATAAATTTATCGGTTGTATTGTAGAACGCAATAATGAGCAGTTTTCTAAGGTATAGCTTATTCTAGGTTTATACTTGAATTGTAGAATTGGCCCTTAGAGTGTTTACCAATCATTGGTGTTTATTATCGGCAAATTGGTGATTTGTGATTTTAACAACATTTAATAATTTTCAACATTTTAACAACATTTAATAATCTGATATAATCCTCTTTAGTTCTTTATCTCTGGTTTTATATTAAAACAATAGAATCCCAAGAAATCAAAAATTATCTATTAACATGGATTTGAATTTGAACGATAATAGGTAAGTATACTTTATGTTATTTCATTTGCTGTAAAATTGTTTATCAGGTTTTCAGTTTGCGATGTTTGTGCGCGATTTTCATGCTCATCGTCTCTGAATCGGCATATGAAGAATATCCACGGAAAAGTAGTCAGTCTGAAGATAAACCAACAACATCATTTGTCCTTTGTGTTCAAACGAAAAGATTTGCTTTTCTTGCCATGAGGGGATTATTGATCATTTAAAAATATCCACAAGGTAAGTATTAAAGAGAGCGTCTTAAATTTTAGGAACCTTCAAGAATTTGATGCTTGGAAGTGTTTAGAAAATAGAGAAATTGATTATGCTTATTAATGAAAATAAAAAGGCCAATAGAGATGAATATGTATATTATAATTGTAATAGAAGCGATTCTAGGGGTAAAATACTTTATACTAGTAATTTGTTTTTTTTTTTTGATAAGTAGTTGTTTTAGGTTTTGAGAGTAAACCAGTTGAACGGAACCCAAAGTCTGGAGGAAGTATTCGCATACAAGGAATATGCCCAGCAAGGATAATAGTCCAAATCTGTGTTAATGGTACGCAATTATTCAAGATTTATTCTGTTTAATATTTGGTGACTGAAATATGAAATAATTTAAAATATTGGTATTTCATGCAAAAACAATATTATTTTTTAGGGATGATTAGGTCCGATACTTCGAAACTCATGTTGGGTATAATATAGAGTTGAGGAGTAGACGACTGACCAAATCTGAACAACAGACAGTCGCAGAAAAATTAATAGCTGGGGTTTCCGTCAATAGAATTATTCAGGATGCAAGAAAATAGAAAACAGTACATTGGAAAGGATAAATATGTCAAGGAGGAGATTTTAAAGTATATTTAATGAGAAAAATTTAATATTTATAACCAAAGAGATAAAGATGACATGATAGCAACTGCATTGAAAGTTGAAGAATGGAACAAGGACGGAAGGAATTATGCATTTTTGTTCAAACAGATTGGTTTAGTTTATTAAATTCTTTCTAGATACATTATTTTTTGAAACCTTTGTGGTTTATAGGTACAAGCTATCCAGGATTAAAGGATGAAGATTTTGCAGTGGGCTTCATGAATAATATAATGGAAAAAAAATTGAAGGATTTTTCAAAGATCATTTGTATGGATGGTACTCACGGAACTAATAGGAGAAATTGGGAGCTGACTACAGTTTTAGTAAAAGATGATCAAAATATGGGTTTCCCTGTGGCATTTTTGGTAACTAATAGATTAGATCAAGTAATACAAAACATTTTTTTAGAGAATTGAAATCAAGACTGGGACAAACTATCGACGCTGAATATATAATGACTGATGATGATCCAAAATACTATAATGCTTGGACCTTGAACATGGAAACAGGTCAGTCTATATTATATAATATATAATTGTTAGATAAACATTATGCTTTTATAAATGTTCTTAATTATACTCTGTAAATAGAAGAAAAACCAAGAAGACTGCTTTGTACTTGGCATGTGGTTAAAAATTGGAATATACAGGGAGATCAAAAAGCAGGAAAATAAGCAAGCAATGAAAAGAGAAATGAGGAAGATTCTAAAGGAGACGGATATTAACAAATTTCTTAAATTAACAAATGCATATTTTAAAAAATTTGGAGATGAAGGTGAAAATGAATTTCTAACATATTTGCAGAAGTAAGTTTGTTTTATTTATTGTTAGTTTGTTTTAGTAATTTTATATTGAAAGTTATAGTTATTTTAATTGATACCTACATGTTACGAAATTATTGCTACTTGCAGAAAGGTCAGTAAAAGCCTACACTTTTACTGACCTTTCTGTACAGCTACCTGTGTTTTAAATTAAATTTATATTTTTTAGATACTATTTCCAGGACCAAAGTAGGATTATGATGTGGGCAAACTGTTATCGACTGAATGCAGGCATAAATACAAACATGGCAATTGAAAGTTTAAATAAAGTCTTAAATATAACAAAATGAATGGGGAAAGAAATATCAGGTATAGCAGTTTAATCTCATGTAATATTTTGGTTTTAACTTGTTTGTTTTTAGGGTGGAAAAATTGTTAGATTTATTTTTTTTTTTTTTTTTTTTTTTTTTAAAAGAATTATAAATAGAGAAAGACCAAATGCAAATAATTATCATCATAAAATATGTGTGGATGCACATAAAAAAGGTGAAGAAATGGTGGGTAAAGTGTCTTCTTTTGAATTTGGAATGTATAAGATAGAGTCAAGCACAGTAAGTAATAAGTTTTATGTTGTGTCCCACAATGAAATTTGTGATGATAATTGTCGAGCAGTTTATTGTAACAAATGTAAGGTATGCATACACAGGTATACATGTCAGTGCCCTGAGTACTTAGTGAAAACTGCAATGTGTAAACATATACATGCTGGTGCCACATTTGAGCAGAGAAGCGAGTCTGTTTCAGGTTCAATTGATAGCCAGGAAGATAATAATTTGTACCTTGAACAGCCAGCAAGTACATCTCAATACAATAATGAATTGGACCATTTTATTCAAGAGAGGGAAGTCAATGATGATTTATATGTAGATAATGAAAGAAGACGTGAGGTATACCTCAGGGTTAAATAATCAGATTTGCAGCAGAGATCTAAACAAAAAGAAACATATTGTAGATTATTTTGCAAGAAATGTGCAACGATATCCGTAGTTATGGCAGTAATTTAAATAATAACGAGTTTGAACAGTTTGTAGTTAGATTTGCAGATTTTAAAAGTTTGAGCCACAAGCAATATTGAAATGTCAAGAAAGAAAATAGAGAAACAGGTTTTCTTCCAAATAAAATCTAAATAAGGTCTGTTAAAATTGTATAAGTCATATAAAGAAACATTTATATGGATATTTATTTTTCCAGATTCCTTTACTTTTATTTACTTGGTTGTGGTGTTTACAGATAAAATGATGTTTTTTTAACCAAATACTTTATTTTTGTGATGATGGTTTATGGCATGTTCATTGTTTATTTTGGTGGTGGAATTGTAACAGAATAATATATTCAGATAACTCGCCTGTTAAAAAAGAGACATTTAATTTTAACACACTCTGTATACATTTTCGTTTCTGAAAATGCAAAACAGATAGTAAGCTTTATAAGTACCTATACAATTATTAATCATACCTTTACAACCTATATTTATTTAGGTCCTAAAATCCAACAAATAATTTAATATCTAAAGTAAATAATTAAACTTTTTATACCAAGAACAGTAATGTTTCCAAGTGTTCATATAAATCTTTATTTAAATACGTAATTACAAAATGTAACAAAACAGAAAAATATCTGAAAATATGATGTATGTAAAAACAACAGAAAAACCAGAGGGAAAAAAAATAACAAATTGACTACCCTAACCAAAGATTTAACCGTCATACGTCAAACGCATCACGTGACTGCGCAATGCCCTACGATAGGGTACGATACCTCTTGAATCTGATTGGACGGTTGGTTGCGTATTTTAATGTATCCTACAAGGTGGAGATGGAAATAAACTTACTTAGTGATATACCTATTTGTTATCGACCCTATCAATTGTCATATCATGAAAGAGAAATTGTAAGAAACATGATAGATGATCTCTGAAAATGATATAATAGAACCTAGCGTATCACCATATGCTAGTCCAATTTTATTGGTTCGCAAGAAATCGGGAGAAATGAGAATGTGCGTGGATTATAGAAAACTTAATGCTGTCACTGTGAAAATGAAATATCCACTTCCAAGAATTGAAGACCAATGGGACCGATTCTCTGGCCAAAGTTGGTTTACAACTTTAGACTTAGCTTCAGGATATCACCAACTGAAAATCGCGGACAAGTAAGGCAATGACAGAATTTTGCAAAAGAAACTTCAATTTCACTCACTATTTTGATTTGTTTCATTTTTAAGAGTGGTGTGATGTCGAAGTTGAAAGAAACTTCAGTTTCACTCACTGTTTTGATTTGTTTTATTTCAAGAGTGGTGTGATGTCGAAGTTGAAAGAAACTTCAGTTTCACTCACTGTTTTGTTTTGTTTTATTTTGAGAGTGGTGTGATGGCGAGGTTGAAAGAAACTTCAATTTCACTCACTATTTTGATTTGTTTCATTTTTCAGAGTGGTGTGATGGCGAAGTTGAAAGAAACTTCAGTTTCACTCACTGTTTTGTTTTGTTTTATTTTTAAGAGTGGTGTGATGTCGAAGTTGAAAGAAACTTCAGTTTCACTCACTGTTTTGTTTTGTGGAAAACAGCCGACAGTATACTGCATTTGTTACGCCTGATGGACATTATCAATACAAGAGAATTCCATTTGGGCTTACAAACGCTCCAGCCGTTTTCCAAAAGGCAATAAATGAAGTTTTAGGGCAGTATCGTTTTTCTTTTGCTATAGTATATCTCGATGACATATTGATTATTGCAAAATCCTCTGAAGAGGCACTTCAGAGATTGGAATGTATTCTACAGGTGTTAATGTCAGCTGGTTTAACTCTAAACATAAAAAAATGCACGTTTTTACAAAATGAAGTAGAATACTTAGGTTCGGTTATTAAAAATGGAGAACTTAGACCGTCACCTGAAAAGATACAAGCGGTAAAAGAGTTTCCGAAACCTGAGAATGTCCATGAAATTAGGAAATTTCTTGGCTTAGTGTCTTACTTTAGGAAGTACATTAAGGATTTTCCCATAAAGTCAAAACCATTAACAATTTTGACCAAAAAAGCTACACCGTGGATATGCCACACAAGAAGAATCTTTTCAGAAATTAAAAGACGAATTATTGCACGATCCAGTATTAGCATTGTATGATCCAGAATTGGAAACTCAGGTTCATACAGATGCCAGTAAATGGGGTTTTGGTGGCGTACTTCTACAAAAACAACCTACAGGTCTCTGCAAACCAGTAGCTTATATGAGTCACCAAACATCGGATTGTGAGTCCAGATACCACAGTTTTGAATTAGAAACAATGGCAGTTGTAATGAGTGTCCGGAAATTTAGAAACTTCCTGTATGGCAAAAGGTTTACGATTGTTACCGACTACAATTCTTTGCGCTTAACTTGGACAAAGAAATATCTATCTCCAAGAGTAGGTAGATGGTGGTTAGAATTGCAGGAGTATGAATTTGATGTAGTATATAGACCGGGAACACTGATGAAACATGTAGATGCTCTAAGCAGAAGAGACATATCTCATGTTACATTGATAAGAGAAGCAGATTGGGTACAGTGTGTTCAGAACGAAGATGAAGATTGCAAGTTAATAAGAGAGCAGATTAAAAATGGCACTTCGGAAAAGTGTTTTGATCTAATTGAAGGTAAGATCTGTCGCTTGATTCAAAACCAGCCAAGAATTTTAATTCCAAAAGAAGTACGCTGGAGGATAACAAGATTACATCATGACGAAAATAGACATCCTGGTATTCGACGTACCTAAGAATCAATAGGAGAGAAGTATTGGTTTACAGATATGAAAAACTTTGTGACAAAATATATCAAACACTGCATACCTTGTCTGTGTGCTAAGAAACCAACGGGGAAAAGAAGAGGTCGACTTTATCCAATAAAGAAAGTTGACAAACCTTTTCATACATTACACTTAGACCATTTAGGACCATTTTGTAAAAGTCCAAAAGGAAACAGTTATATGTTAGTCACTGTAGACTCGTTTACAAAATACACTTGGATTGAAGCAGTTCCTGATACTGGAGTTACACATGTGATTAGTACTTTGGAATTGCTGATAAATTTTTTTGGTATACCAGAGAGAATTATTACAGATCGGGGAAGATGCTTTACAAGTAAGGCAATGACATTTCACTCACTATTTTGATTTGTTTCATTTTTAAGAGTGGTGTGATGTCGAAGTTGAAAGAAACTTCAGTTTCACTCACTGTTTTGATTTGTTTTATTTCAAGAGTGGTGTGATGTCGAAGTTGAAAGAAACTTCACCACTCAATTGCCTTTGCTTTATTTTATTTTGAGAGTGGTGTGATGGCGAGGTTGAAAGAAACTTCAAATTTTCACCACCATTTTGATTTGTTTCATTTTTCAGAGTGGTGTGATGTCGAAGTTGAAAGAAACTTCAGCTCTCCACTCCACTGTTTTGTTTTATTTTATTTTAAGAGAGTGGTGTGATGTCGAAGTTGAAAGAAACTTCAGTTTCACTCACCCAATTGCCTTTGTTTCTTTGTTTTATTTCAAGAGTGGTGTGATGTCGAAGTTGAAAGAAACCGCTTCACTAACTCAGTTTTGATTCTTGTTTTATTTTAAGAGTGGTGTGATGTCGAAGTTGAAAGAAACTTCAATTTCACTCACCGTTTCTTTCTTTATTTGAGGATGGTGTGAGCAAAGAAACTCTAATTCTCACCCACTCATTTTGATTTGTTTCACTCAGAGTGGTGTGATGGCGAAGTTGAAAGAAAGTCCTCAGTTTCACCTACCGTTTTGTTTTTGTTTTTATTTTAAGAGTGTGGTGCGGATGTCGAAGTTGAAAGAAACTTCAATATTTCTGGTTATTATCTTGTCTAGGAGGTCAACCTGCTTTTGTAAGGTGTCCTTGTCTGGTGCGACTACGATCACTTGGTCGTCTGCAAACAGTAGTATATTCAGAAAATATTGTCGGTCTATTGGGATACCTCTTGGTGCTATTTCTTTCCATTCTCTTATAACCTGGTCCATATATATGTATATTAAAAAGTGTAGGGGAAAGAGGACATCCTTGTCTTGTACCTCTCCCAAGCAGCATTTGGACGTCGGGACAACGTTGTGTCACGCGACCAAACGTCGGGGCGCAACGTCGGCACAACCTCGTGCCAACCCTAGTCTGCACTAGTTTGGAGAATAATTTTTGGGTCGAAACGACGTTGGATACCGACGTTGGCTAGAAGCCTAATTTAGTACAAACTGCAACGTTGTTTAAAATACTAATTTACAGAAATACGAAACTAATCTGGCGTCTAAGTCGCGTTTTATCCCAAATTGGGATAATTATAGTAAAAATATTATTTTATTTAGTTAGAGACATATGCCGGATGACAGTGAAGGAAACAAAACAAAAGTATTTAAGTGTGGAGGATGTTTGAAGATCATAATTATTGAAACACTTTAACCGACTCTGTAACCCGTTACCCAAGGCAAAAAGTTAAAACGCAAAACAACTTAATTGATAAACGTATTGTTTCTACTTTGAAAATACCAATGGGCCTTAAAATTAAAGTAGTTTAAAATTTCTTTGAATTTTTTAGTAAAATGAGAATAATTTATTCGCAGTCGAAAAATTGTTTCCGCGTGTTTTTAGGGTCAAATATTTCAAGTTAATGTATTCAAAAAGCAGAATTGCTATTTTAGGAACGAAACATTTTATTATTTAACAACATGGCGGCTTTCGCTTTGTTGTTTTGGAGATTAAGATGGAGTAGTTCGAGTAGTCGCATACTGGACTAATAAAGTCGCAGTTCGGCCTTACCAGGTAGTATACTAGTCGCAAAATTGCCTAATTTAGTTATCCTAGAGTCTAGCTTCCGCCCTCTATAATCTAAATAAACGAGGGAGTGGATAAACCATCGGTAATATATGTCGATGTATATTTAAATTTAGTTTTATGTGTACCTTACTTATGTCCCATTTTAATTAAGTTTTTTTTATAAAACAAAACAGACTGAACTTTCTGTCTGACTGAACAGAACAATGAACTGAAAATTTAAGATTTAAGATTATGGTTCAATACAGTTGCAAAAAGTAGTGACTGGACGTCCTACCAACGTAAGAATAAGGAAATCTAAACAACGTTGGAATTAGTAAAACCGACGACGTCGTAGCCAAGCGTTGGAATAGGTCCTGAACTGACGTCGAAAAACTCTATATTGTCCAACGTTGTAACTACGTTGTCCGAATAACCTAAAGATCATTTAAGCAAAAAAGGTAACAAGACAACGTTTATCTGACGTCAGAAGCTTCTCCTACTTGCTGTAGTAATTAGTCCAATAATCGTCGGCACAACGTTATAAAACGTTTAAATTTATTTTAATACCAAAGGTAGGGAGCTAACTATTTTTTGTAACTAATCCAACGTTGTGTTTAGTAAACATGTGGTCGCAAGTCGTGAAAATGCTACTTGGGCTGTTAACTTCTATTGTATTATCCCCTTTCACCATCTTAATAAAAGTTCTGTGATAAGACCTCTTTAATACATAAATTAAGTAGAATCTTCGAGCCCCATCTACATTCCGAATTTCAGTCCTCTAGCTCACATAGGGCCCCAGTTACGACGCTCCAAGTTCGTTACAACTTTTCCTCTCGCATCTCGTGTGTCATTTTTTTTTCACCAAAACTAAAATAGAAACAGACCTGTTATAAAACCCTTAAATATATCCCAGCCTATTTTTATTCTATATCTAAAAAAATATTGTTCAATGAACCCCCAAAAATACACACTTCCTAGACGTATATTAAGGGTATATTTAGGAACATATATAGTTTTTCTGTCCTCATATATCGTATCAATATTATATTATATCGGCTTGTATTTTTAGAAAGACAAACATGTTATTCCCCAACAGCAAAAATCGATTTTGGATTTAATGGCAGAGTAGAAAAATATTCTTTAATGTATTTTTGATGTCATATGAATATGTTTTCATTTTTATTCTGTTATTATATATTTATTATTAAAATATAAAGAATGTTTTATAAATAAAAGTATTATAAAAAATATCTATACCTATGTGGCGGGTTCATCTCTCAAAAAAATCCTTTATGGGTATTTCGCCACTGCACATTGCACTGCAAGAAAATCTACAAAATAAAATAGTTATTTTTTGTAAACACTTCTGGGCGTTAAACCTAAACGGACACTGCTTGTCAGAAGTTATGTTTACAGTTATACAAATTTGCCTAATAAAGAAAAAAATGCTTAACGTTTCGGAAAGTTTATCTCTTTCCGTCGTCGGAAGCAAAAAAATACAAAGAATAAAGAAAAAAACTGACAACAGAACATCAACGGTTTCTTGTAGCGTATCTGTTTTAAAAAAGTAAAGTGTTCTCGAATAGTTGAATTTAAATATTTTAAATAGTTTTTTTCTTTATTCTTTGTATTTTTTTTGTCGGTAAAAGCTAGTAATTATTTAAAATGTCAATATTCCATGGGTATAATAAATGAGGTCTAAATTATAAGAAAATGCATTTTCTACGAAAACTTGAAGAGATAGGTATAATACAATTTGATAGACAATTAAATTGTGCATCTGATTCTCGTAAAATATACAGGGTATTCCATTTAAATTAAACAAATTATTGCCGTTTAAAGCTAGTAATTATTTAGTAAAACAAATTTAGACACTCTGTATACGGTAGTATTTTGTTTATTATTGTATTACAATGTCTGATCAATAAATAAACTTCAGTAAATATTTAGTATTAAAAACTTTGATACCCTTGGAGAAATGGAACCTTAAAATTTTTACTGCAATTTCATAAAATTGAAAATATTTCAAAAGCGGATTTAAGTGTGATACGCCTTAATCAAATTTGCCCTTATTCCAATCATAGAATCTAAAATAGAATAATATACAGGGTATTCCATTTAAAAAATAAAACTATAATATTTTTTACTTATTTGGGACACTCTGTATCTTGTAAAATATTTTTAAATTGCAGCTCTAATAGTTCTTCAACGAACCCAAATCTTACAATTTGTAAAAATCTAATCGTTTAGCTACAATACTCCGTTTCGTATGTGGTGAACAACCCGTATTGTGGGTTAACTATTTAAATAAAAAAATTCACAGTCCTTTACAAAGATGCAACCGGGGGGCATTGAAAATGATGAATAAAAACGTAAAAATATGATTAGTGTTAATATGAGTGTATTACATACATATGTTTAAATAACGAATGTTATGGATGAATGTTAAATAACGAAGTTTATGGCGCTCTTCTGTGACGGCTTTTTATGTCTTAATAATTATATATAGGGTGTTTTAGAACTCGAACCAAAGTCGAAATTTTGCAAAATCTCAAGAAAGAAAATCTCTCGAAAATAATAAATAGTAAAATGACATTTACCCTCTATGGATAGAACCCTACCTATGGTCCCATATAAACTGTATACTAAAATAAATAGCTTTGACATATAATTGTCGTTTTTCTTGATATACTTCCCTGATTTTATTTTATTTTTCCAGAGCACTAATACTCTCTTTATGTTATTTTTTATTGCTAGAACGATGATTTGAAGAAGAAATATTTCGTTCATATTATTGATGTCACTAAATAAACCCTTGTATAATATGTTATACTTCTAGATGTTATAGTAATGCATTTTCGTACAGCAAACTTTCATTCCCTATTCTACTCCCTAAGGGTATGAATTTCATAAATTCCTATGTCCAAATAATTAACTCATGTCTTTTAAATGATCCTTTGTGCAAATTTTTATGTGTATAATCCAGAGGTCACGAAGGTTTATATAATTTTTTACTAACTTTATCCATTTGGTTGATGAATTTCAAAAATCTCTTCTTATTCTTCTTTCTGTAGAATTTCATTCTTCTAGTAAATGATTTTCATACAACAAATCGTTCGACATAATTTTACACTCTAAGAGGATGAATTTTCTAAAATCGCTTTGCATAACTAATTCACTAACCACTAATGTCCTTTAAACGAACCTTTGTGCTAATATTGATGTATCTAAAGCTGGTGGTATAAACTGACCCCTAAAATATCTAAAAACTTGATATATAATCTAACTGACACACCACTGACAATGACAAATAATTGATTTCTGGAGGTATTTTGTGGAGGTGTTTTTCAGGTATGTTTTAATATTTATTCGTTTTACATAAAGAAATACCGATTAAACGATATAATAATACTTCATAACAAATCTAGACATATATACCTTTCATTTAAAAAAAGAATCATCAAGATTGGTGAGGCGGTTTCGGCGGGATGGATGTAACAAAAAAACCCGTTGATCTTTTATATATGCATCCCACTTCGGTGTCACAAGCTGAATTTTTCAGGGAAAGAAGTACAAGTACGTGATATGGGGACCCTTATTCCAAAAGTAGTACAAAATTAGACCGGGAAAAGGGCACTATCATCAAAAATCGATATATTAATACCACCGTATAGAGAAAACAAATACTTATTTTTTGGTCCAGTACAAAATAAAGTCTTCGTAGGGAGTAATTTTTTATAATTATTTACAAAAAAAACATTTCCATTAGCGCTTATGACCGAAAAAAACTTTAAACATGAATAACTCATTTCAATCATGCGAAAATTTGGTTTAAAAATAGATTTTTTTTTAATATAACTTTTATTTAACGAAAAACGAAGGCCTAAATGAAAAAAGAAACAATTTAAAAGTTTCGCTTATGTCTTGACAAGGTAACAAAGCAAACCCCATATTTTTTGCTTTTAAACTAATAAAGATATATCAATAAACAATTAGCGATGTCCGACTGCCGCCGCCGCGCCGATATTTCCTATACGTATACGCGTGATGACGTCATGGTGTGGCAAATGTAGCATTTTAATTCGATTTGGGCTCCCTTATATAGGATAACAGAAACATTTTCAATGTTAAAAATCATTCCATTCTTTTCCAGTTGTGTTCTGAACACAGTCATGTACGAACCTGTATTGGACAACTCTCTTTCAACTTCGGTGATCAAGCCCACGAAATATCCTAGTTTCACGCAGATATACAATTTCCGTAACCTGGATCTGGACAACAATTTTTGCGAGCACAACAACAACAGAGAAGAATGTCCTCCGGTCAAACCGCCCAGAAGGCACCAAAGAAGACTGAGCTTAAGGAATTCGTTTTCAGGTAATTTTCAGAAATAATTGAAGCATTCCCTCGAATAAGGGTTTATGTAGCATTTTTCAGATATTGGGATTTTTGCACAAAAAGGGTCTATGTAGACAAGTTCATCCTTTTACAGTAATAAATACCCGATAATGTCCCGTCATCTATGAACAACATGCGGCACCATCTTTTCTAGCATGGAATAAGAGTATATGTTGTCACATTTTATTCAATATCGTAAATATGTCGCTTTGCAAAACATCAAATAAAGTTCGAAAACGAAAAATAAATGTAACTGAATGGAGGTCTATTAAAAACAAACGGTTAAGAAATGTACAACTTGTACACAAAAAAAAATAGATTGCAATCAAAATTGGTTGCCTGCAAGGTTTATGTTACATTTCACATAAACCCTTATTCCCGGGACTCAAGAGTTTCACTACAGGGCGTTTTAGCGTTTCAAAAAACATGTACCATTTCTCATGGAGAGATTCCTCACTTAAAAATGTGATTTATTTTATATATCAACATAGGTCCGATTCTGCTTCGTATCCAGGCGTTGCTGCTACAGGGCGTTGAACACTGAATTTTATTTTCGATTTATTATAATTTTCTTCCCAGTGTCTTTAATAATTCGAATGAAATTTTTAAGGAAAAGGTAGGTACTACATGTACTACATATTTTAATGCTATACAGGGTGTTTAAAAACAAATGCGAAAAACTTCAGGGGGTGATTCCTTGTTCAAAATAAAGAGTAGTTTGCTTCATAAATGTTGGGTCAAAAGTCAACCATTAGGGAGATATCGCGGTACAAAGATGGCGGAAAAATAATGTTTTTATTTTTTATCTTGAAAACGAAAAGAGCTAATGAAATTTTCTGGAAGCATTACTGTTATGAAAACACCCTTTCTGGTAATTTTTTCACTATTTTAAAATGAGTGGAAGGGTTGAAATAAACTACCCCTATCATTCTTGTTAACAGAAATTAAAGAAAAATCTTATCAAACACATGCAAAAAAAATTAATTTGGATAGTTTAGTTTGTTTAGAAACTTTTTTATCTCTTGTGTTTTTTGATAAAACTCACCGATTTGAAATTAAAAAATAAAATGTAAAGCATTACATGTCAGGACAAAAACATTTTCTGATAAAGAAGGTGGGCTGCTGTAATTTTTTTTAGGAAAAAAATCTAGTCGGCCGCTGTTACTTTTTAGGATGTTTCTAATATTATTTTATTTGACATTACTCTACCGCAATACGTTATTATCTAGATGATTATTATTATCGTTATTTTCTTTCTAAGATTCTTAATCTAAAAATGTGTTTTGTCCTGACATGTAAAAATTTACATTTTATTTTTTAATTTCAAATCGGTGAGTTTTATCAAAAAAACACAAGAGATAAAAAAGTTTCTAAACAAACTAAACTATCCAAATTAATTTTAATTTTTCGCATGTGTTTGATAAGATTTTTCTTTAAATTTCGTTAACAAGAATGATAAGGGTAGTTTATTTCAACCCCTTCCACTCTTTTCAAAAAAGTGAAAAAATTACCAGAAAGTGTGTTTTCATAACAGTAATGCTTCCATAAAATTTCATTAGTCTATCTCTTTTCGTTTTCAAGATAAAAAATAAAAACATTATTTTTCCGCCATCTTTGTACCGCGATATCTCCCTAATGGTTGACTTTTGACCAACCTTTTATAAAGCAAACTCCCCTTTATTTTGAACAAGGAATCACCCCCTGAAGTTTTTCGCATTTGTTTTGAAACACCCTGTATATACACACATACTACATACTGCCATTACCCGCTGACGAGTATTTGACACGCATAAGAAGATGGTCACGCAAGGCGTTTTCTTTCATGAGCTTTTCTGTGACTGAAAAGCCCGATACATGATGTTATCTGTCTACCGCACTCCGGACATTCAAAAATCTCATTGCTTTGTTGCCTCTTTACTTTTTGGTTGTCGCTCTTAACTGAGTTTATAATTCTTCTCCATTGAGTTCTATTATGAGCTGCTTCTTTCCACTCATTCTGCATGTTAATTCCCTTTAATTTTTCGTGTAAAATGTCCTTTTAAGTTGTCCACCCGGCCTCCTCTTACCGTCTACAAGCTCACCATAAAACAGAGATTTTAGTATGCCGTTTTCTTGCATTCTGCATACGTAACCAGCCCATCTTAAGCAAGATTTTGTAACTATGACTCCAATACTCTCACAGTTAGCTCATTCAAGGATCTATACGTTTGAGACATGATGGAGCCATTTGATTTTTAAGAGTTGTCTAAGGTGTCTTTGTTCAACTTGTTTAATGCGTTCATGTGTCGGCGGTACGGCATCCAGGTTTCGCTCCCATACAATATGGTGGGATTATTATTGTTCGGTACACTGCAAGATTAGTTTTTGTGCTCAAGTCACGGTTATAGAAAACCCTGTCTTTTAATTTCCAGAACGCTCTTGAGGCGCTGCTAATCCTATGCTGTATTTCAAAGTCAATATTGGCCTTTTCCGAAATCAAACTGCCGAGGTAATTGAATTCCGCTACATATTCCAATAGTTCTTCTCCGATTTTTATAGCATTGTCGTGATCTTCTGGGGGAGTGTACATGATTTTAGTTTTTTCACTGTTTAGCTTAAGACACAAAACCTCGGATGCCCAGATATATGTGTTCAACATTTCTTGTAATTGCTGTAACGTTTTTGCAACTATCACTGGGATATCATTGGAATATTCTTTCTAAAAAACATGCGCGCCATTGTTTTTTTTCCCTGTTAGCAGCATTGTGTAGACCGTTTAATGCCGATTAAAAGTTGTCTTTTGATATTTTGTCGATTTCTAGCTCTTTCGTGAGTTTTTTTTTAGGACGCAATTTTATCAATTTGCCTTAACCCAAGTCTAACAGCAACATAACAATTTTTTAATGTCATTAACTTGCGAAAGTGTTGAATAAGTACTCACTGATATCTCATCGAAAAATATGTTTAAAAAAAACGAAATTCCTCTAAACATGGGTGCGGAATTTACAGGATGTTAAAACTATTAAAAAATAAGTCTTTTGCAATAATTATCTTAAATACCATTTTTTTTTAATTTTCTGTAGATAGGACAGTAAAATTGACTATGAAATATATTCTTCTTCTTCTTCTTCCTACTCTATAATAGGCAGTTTGCCTGTTCATTCATCACATTTTTCTTGGCCTTCCCGAACTTCTTCTTCCCAGTGGTAATTTGTCGCGAGCGGACCTTACTATTCTTCCCTCGTCCATTCGGCTTATATGTTCGTTCCATTCGCATCTTCTGCTCAATACCCATTCATTAATGCTTTCCACCTTGCAAGGTGCACCTTGCAAGCGAAAATATAAGGCAAACATGCATGTTTGCCTCATATTTTCGCTTCGTTCTCTATCTAGCAGCGTTTTACCTGTGGTTTTGCGGAGGATTTTCGTCTGGCCTGTTTCCAAGAGTCTTTTTGTTTTTGCTGTATCCGGTCTGATTTCTGCTGTGTAGGTCATTATGGGTCTGACGACAGCCTTGTATATTCTTGACTTGACCTCGACACCTATGTATTTATTTTTCCATATGGTGTCGTTCAGACATGCAGCTACTTTCATTGCTTTTGTTGTTTGTTATCTTACCTCTGTTTCGATATAGCCATAACCGGATAACTCTATACCGAGATATTTAAATTTCATTTCTTGATGTATCGTTGTGTTATCCACGACAATCTTGCATCTGATAGGTATTTTTGATGTTGTCAGGCTCTTTGTTTCGGATGCAGAGATTATGATGTTATAAGATTTTGCCACTAGATTGAAGCGATATACTAGTCTTTGGAGGCCGTCCTCATTTTCTGCGAATAGCACAGCGTCGTCGGCATAACATAGAATTGTCATATTGCGGTCTCTCATTTTGTATCCATTTAAATGGCGCACTTGTTTGATTATTTTGTCCATGATAATATTAAAAAGAAGTGGGCTTAATGAATCGCCTGATCGTATGCCTTTCTCTACAGGTATTGGTTCAGTAAAATCCCCGTGGATATTAGCTTGGATTTTGTTAGCACTGTATATATTTCTATGACTTTAATTAAGTTATAAAGTAAATGTACAACATCTTCTAATTGAAGCCGATCAAATGCTTTCTGCAGGTCTATGAAACACATGTAAGCAGTGTTAAAACACTATGAAATATCAGTGTTAAAAATTTTAAGACTAAATAAATAATTTATTAATTTTATTTTAATTAATTGTGATTAATAAAATTGCGGTTATCTCATCGAAGAGATCGAAATCGACAAAATATCACTATACAACTTTTAATCGACTTTAAACAGCCTACACAATTTTGCTACCAAGAGAAAAAAAATCAATGACACACATGTTTATTTAGCAAAATATTCCAGTGATAACCCATATGCACGTCCCTGGTAAATCTGTAGACACTTTTTTTGCATTAAAATATGTAGCACCTCGTGTAGCACTCATAGCAACTTTCACCCTGAAAATTTCATTTAAATCTCTAAACAGATTTGGAAGAAAATAATAAAATAAATAGAAAAAAATGAAGATTTTAACTTCGTGTAGCTACGAAACAAAGCAGAATCGGACCTATATGTTGATATAAAAAATAAATCTTATTTTTACCTGAGGAATTTTCCCACAAGAGACGACATATGTTTTTGGAACGCCATGTATATTGGTTGCATCTAGTTTTTTAATAGCTACTTAACAATTTGTGTGTTAAACACACATTATAAAAAATAGATTACAGTTTATTATTAGTAAACATCATCCTTCTGTGTTGCTATAATAAATCTTGACAGAATACAGAAAATCCGTGTGCGAAAATCATTACAAACTAGAAAATATTGTTAAATAACTATTAAATCTCGTGACTAGATGCGAAATTTAACATTGAAATTAACTCATTTTATCGCATGTTAGCTTTTTCGCAGATTGAACATTAATCGTATCCTACCGATGATGGTAATAAAAAAATTATGTGCTCGCGAATTAATTTTATCGATAGTTAGGAATATTTTAATCTGTAACATTTTGTAATATTTTCATCATGTAACAAGGTGTGTTATATTTATAGTTCTGGAATTTTTTAGGCGGTGAACACTCGAGTAAAATGAAAAATGGCGGTGGTGGAAATAGTGATTTTATTGTGGACGTGGATCATATAGAAATTGGATTGAGGGATAACAGTAAGAAGACGGAAAGTAGTTATAGTGATGTAGGTGTGCAGACTACGCATTTAGTGCCTTATAGGTAAGTATAAAAAAAACAGTTGAATTGTTTCGCTTTCCAAGATTTTCCTAGATTTTTTAATTTTTATGATTTAGGGTCAATAGAACTTTATTATTTCATAAAATTCAAGGTGGCTGTGATATGTTTATCGTTAATTTATCAAAAATTAGAGGATATAGAGGGATATACCCCTTTATTACCGTTGAAACTAACAAGCATAATTTTATTGCTGCAATATTGCCAAACTTCGCAAAGCAAGGTGTAACATTGATTTTTTCATTGCAGGGAGGTATATGCAAGCCATGCAAGGTGGCAGGGTAGCTTAATTTTCCGCTAAATAACATTGCAGTGCAAGGTTGAAATAAATAATGTTGATACAAGTTTATTGAAAAACCTTGTCACAACCTCGTGAGAACATTTCACAATATTATTGAAACGTTGCTAATGTAACGTTCAAGAAAGTACTAATTTGGGATATATTAGCAATATTGTTAATTATACGTCAATATGAAATCTATATCTATTCGTTTGTAAGGTAGTAAAAATAAAAAACAATCAGTTGTAATAAATATAACATGAGAAACGTACCTCTTGTATATAATGTCCCTTATTTTAAAAATTTCAAATGTTATAACATCATTAAAAGAATATTGAGAATAATGAATACTAAATATTATTTGTGATTTTATCATTAGATTAAGAATATATTTATCCTGGTTTTATCTATTTCAATTTTCAGTTGGTTAAAAGCTAACCTAAAATACAAAAATTTCCTTTAAAAACAATCTAAACACAATTTTTTATACTTATTCATGGCTAAGCATTATTAAAACATACAAATAATAAAATTATACTCACATTTATCATGATCACCTCATGATCATCATTCTCAGCTTAATCAACCTTTTCCAATTATAGCTGACCAATTATTGTTGCTTGGTCCAAGCTATAGGTATATCCTTGCTAATTTTCTAATATTATAGTCCCATCTCAGGTTCAGTCTTTCTCTAGGTCCCTTAATTCCTCCTGGGTATCATGCTGTAATTTTTGTGGTCCATCTGTTGTTCATTCTTCTTGCCAGGTGTCCTGCCACTTGAGGGATTGACATACCTGGTTCTTTTGTCGTATCCACTCTTTTCTTTTACGGTCTTTCTTGGTTATTCCCAGCATATTTCGTTCCATTGAGCATTGTGTGTCTAAGAAAATCTCAGAAAGCAAAACAATTCCATTTTTTTGCGACAGAATGTGACAAAAAATAGGTAGATGAAATAAAATGATCATGCTTTCCTTCTTGTTCACTGTATAAAATGATTCTCTTTTCAAAAGATCTTTTCACATTAAGCGGCAAATGTGGAGTTTCTATCATGTGGAGTTTCTATCATGTTGTCGCCAGTAGTTGGTCGAGTTTTGTAAACACTGCCAACTTTATGAGATTTTTTTTCCTTTTAATGGATAAGTATGATCATTATGAAGTAATGTCAGCTATATTAGAGGATTAGAGGCACCTAAATTTTATCAAATAATAAAGATCTACTGACAAATATCATAAAATAATAGTATTTTGAAGACACATGAATTATCTATTGAATATCGAAAGAATATACTGGGTGTTCCACTTAAAATAAAAGAGTACCTTGCTTATAAAAGTGGCCTTATAAATGTTTAATATTAATTTTGTCTCACTCTGTATAACCTTTCGAGTCAAGTTTTAATTCGATTTCAAGAAAAATGGTTATTTTAACTACATATTAAGCTATAGCGGGTAATTTACAATTTTAAGTAGCTTTTATTGGAATTTAAAATGTGCTCTTCATTTTTAGAAAATATCAAATATTTCAAAACCCCTACATTTTAGACATGTGTTTCTCTAATGAAACTCACCTCTATTTTTTCCTAAAATTCCAAAAATCAATTAATATACCGGGTGGACCGAATTGTATTCCGGGAACTTCAGCAGCATATTCTGCAGATAAAAATAAGTAGAAAAGTTCGTATAAATGAATGTCCTAAAATGGTTTGATTCGGAGATACAGGGTGTAGATGTTTCATTTTTGTTTCGGTTTTGTCCAAATAATTTCTGAAGTGACGTCAATATTTGGATGAAAATTGGTGTCTGGGGGTTTTTTGATATAAGAAATTTGATTTTGGTGTAAATATGACTCCTACTTGTAGAGGGGCCACCTACATGTGTTTTACATTAAAATCAAATTTATCATGTCAAAAAACTCCCAGATAAGTTATCTCTTCAAACTAGTTCAAAAATATGTAGGTGACGCCCTTTACAAGTAGGAGTCATATTGACATTAAAATCAAATTTCTCATGTCAAAAAACCCCTAGACACCAATTTTCATCCAAATATTAATGTTAATTCATAAATTATTTGGAAAAAATCGAAATAAAAATGAAACTTCTACACCCTGTATTTCCGAAACTAATCATTTTAGGGCATACATTTATAAGAAGCTTTTTTAGTTATTTTTATCTGCAGAATATGCTGCCGAAGTTTCCCGAATGCAGTTCGGACCACCCTGTATAAGATGTTCGGTTACATAAAACACAAGTTTAATATGTAACTTTTTTGGAGAAACCCTGTAGAACTCCATATATTTTTAAAAAATGGCTGTAGATTATTTATTGTAGTAGGTATATAAATTGTAGTTCTCCTTGGAGCTTTCACGTGATATGAACGGTATCACCCTGTATTTACTAGTTACCTACAATAATTTTTTCTTTACAGATTAAGATTTTGGCCTCGAACGGACTGTGATTTTAAAATAAGCCACTCGGATGCGAGTTGTATGCTGAAGTGCCATTGCTGTATGAAACTGGTCAGTCAGTGGATACTGTCCCAGGTTGGACTGACTATAATAGTGATTACTTGGGCCTTGTTAGGAGCATATGCCTTCTTCAAAACCGAAGGTAATACCACAGTAATACCATAAGAATAAATGCGATACCAACTAACTGAATAAAAATACGTGTATAGGAGTGTGTAGGAGTCTATATTATATTTTTAGTAAAGTAAACCCAAGTAGTATTTTCACAACTTGCGACCATATGTTTACTAAACACAACGTTGGATTAGTTACAAAAAATAGTTAGCAGCGTACCTTGGGTATTAAAATAAATGTAAACGTTGTTGTAACGTTGTGCCGACGTTGAACTAGTACAACAAAGTAAAAGCTTCTGCGACGTCGAATAAACGTTGTCTTGTAACCTTAAGCTTAAATGATCTTTAGGTGATTCGGACAACGTAGTTACAATTTAAGGCAATAAAGAGTTTACCGACGTCAGTTTCAGGACCTATTCCAACGTTATGCAAACGTCGTCTGTTTTACTAATTCCAACGTTGTTTAAATTTCCTTATTCTTACGTTGGTAGGACGTCGAGCCCATATACATATTATATGTACCTATATGGCCGAGCCACTACCTTTTTGCAACTGTATTAAACCATAACCTTAAATCTTAAATTTTCACTTCATTGTTCTGTTCAGTCAGACAGTTCAGTGCTGTTTTTGTTTTTATAAAAAAAACTTAATTAAAATGGGACGTAAGAAAGGCACATATAAAACTAAATTTAAATATACATCGACATATTACCGATACTTTATCCACTCCCTCGTTTATTTAGAATACCTATAGGGGGCGGCACAAGCTAGACTCTAGGATGACCAAATTAGGCAATCTTGCGACTAGTATACTACCTGTTAAGGCTGAACTGCGACTTTATTAGTCCAGTATGCGAGTACTCGAACTACTCCATCTTAATCTCCAAAACAACAAAGTGACAGCCGCCATGTTGTTGAATAAGAAAATTTTTCGTTCCTAAAATAGCAATTCCTGCTTTTTGAATACTTTTGAATACTTGATTAACTTGAAATATTTGACCCTAAACAACACGCGGAAACAATTTTTTTTCGACTGCGAATAAATTATTCTCATTTTACTAAAAAAAAATTCAAGAAATTTTTTAAAACTTCTTTAATTTTAAGGCCCATTAGTATTTTTCAAAGCAGAAACAATACATTTATCAATAAAGTTGTTTGAGTTTAAATGTTTTGCCTTGGGTAACGAGTTACAGAGTTGGTTAAAGTGTTTCAATAATTATGATCTTCAAACATCCTCCATACTTAAATACTTTTGTTTTGTTTTCCTTTACTGCCATCTGGCATATGTCTCTAACTAAATCATAAAAATAATATTTTTACTATAATTATCCCAATTTAGGATAAAACGCGACTTAGACGCCATATTATTATAGTTTTGTATTTCTGTGAATTAGGATTTTAAACAACGTTGCAGTTTGTACTAAATTAGGCTGCTAGCCAACGTAGGTATCCAACGTTTCGACCCAAAAATTATTCTCCAAACTAGTGCAGATTAAGGTTGGCACGAGGTTGTACCGACGTTGCGCCCCGACGTTTCGTCGCGTGACGCAACGTTGTCCCGACGTCCAAATGCTGCTTGGGAATATTTTTATATCAAAACATAAATGTGTGTTTACACTTGAATTCATTAGGTATAAATGTAATATGATCGTCTAAATTGGACAAATAATTTCAAACGAGTTGATTCATGTCTCAGTTGACTAGGGTATGGACTCACAGAGAAGTATACAGGATGTTTCAAACATCCTCTATACTTCTTTCTGAATCCCATGACATATCTGTAAGGTTTGGTGCATTATCCGCCGGTGCTGCCCCCATCGGAGAATATCGTAAACAACTAGTATATTGTAGAAATACACGGGTTGAAATAGCGAGTATACGAAAAATGTATTATATAATTTTCTAAAAATGTTAGGAAGTGTAATTTGTGAAAATTCTAAATATAAAAATAAAAAAGTAAATATTTTGATATCTGCAGAAGGTCTAACTTGTATTATAATTTATTATTCCAGCTAAAAAAACTTTTGAGATGAGTTCAACTACGGTAGGGAGCATAGTTTTAATCACCGGTTTTGCTAGTGGGGCATCATTGTACCTATTTCGGCTATAACGAAATTTTTTAAGGTACCATTGCGATAAAAAAAAGTAGTACAAGACTATCCTTATAGTCTATATATATATCGAGAAGTGGATATCGTCGTCACTATGAAAACAATACAATTATACCACCTTACTTTTTAGGCATTACCATGAATTTGGTAATAATTGATAGGTATACGTGGCGAAATAAAAGTATAAAAAATTTACCTACCTTTTAAAAATGGGCAATTTTTCATATTTTTCAAGTTTTAAAAATATTTTATTATAGACCAGCAGATTAAATCATATTTTGTTGTACTACTTTTTTTTATCGCAATGGTACATAATTATAATTTTAGAAGATGTTCATAAAACATTTAATCACTAGTCGATTAAAAAAAGTATACCATTAATATTGTAAATTATATTTTATCCTCCCACAGTATATGTCACTTGTTTCTTCGAAGTGCTTGAATCCATTTTTGCTTTTGATCAAATCGGTGTACTATGAAGAAATTATGAAGCTATAAAAGGTGCTTTCGGGAGAGTTGAATATCCGGGAAACTTGAGTTATTGAATGTTATTGCACCCAACAACGTCTTAATTATGCTCTCCTTTACGCGTTAACATTTTTTTTGGCAATTTTAGTAACATTTACAATTGTCACAACACAACACGATGCCTAGTTCGAATTCTTTTTCACTTATTTTTTACTACCTGAAACAGCGTTACATCACACAAACCTCGTACCTGAGTGTTCTATAGTCTCAATAACTGCACTAGCAAAAAACTAAAATACTTAAATATTATAACAAAGCCACGATTTCAATATTATTTTGATGCGATCAACACGACGCGACGGCGGCGTAAAATACTGTTACGGATTCCGTGGGTCCACTATTTAAACTCACGATAAAATACTTAACGAATTTATTTTCTCACTTTATACACAATTACTAACTTATAACACACAACAACTAACTATTCCTTCACCAAATTGTCCGATTTTCAATTTCCACGCGGTATATTCAAATTTCAAAAATCTGTCTTAGTTGTCGATGGCTCCGGCTTGTATACTCTATTGACTGCTTTTCGAAATTTCCCCAATTCTCGGAAAGCGTACTTCTTCATACCAGACAATTCTATTGTCTGATCCCCTTACTTCTCGACTTGACTAAAAGATGGCCCCTGAAAAAGTCTTATTAATTTCTGGCGGATACGTTGCTGTTGTGCAGGCAACCAGTAATACTTTTTTAATTTCTGGCGGATACGCCATTTTTCTTCACATTGCCCCCTTCTCAAATTTGATCGTCCCGATCAAGGTTTCCTGTCTGGTATCTTTTCAATCGATCCAGATGAACTACTTTCATCCTTACTTCTAGGGCTGCGATGAATCCGGTACACAACATCAATTTATCCTCTTGATGACTGTATAAGGACCTTCCCATGCTGGAGTTAACTTTGGGGGACCTTCCTTTCTTGCGCTGTGGGTTTTACAACCATACCCTATCGCCCTGTTGAAATCCAGTAGAATTAGCTCTGAGGTCGTAACGAGCTTTCATCCGGTTACTGGCTAGCGCAATCTTGCTTCTAGCGGCCTTATGAATGTCCAATAACCTTTTCCCTTCAGTTCATCCGCGTATTCCTCTACGTTCGTGGTGCTATCGTCTGGTGATCCGAACACCAAGTCACAACGCAACCGTAATTCTCGACCAAATAAATCTTCGATGGTGAAAGTCCGGTGGTGTTGTGAACTGCACTTCTATATGCCATTAGGAATAGTGGTATATGCTTATCCCAATCTCTTTGATGTTCATCCACCATTTTCTAGAGATGTTCTTCAATGGTCTTATTGAATCTCTCGACCATCCCATCAGACTGCGGATGTAAAGCTGTTGTCCTAGTCTCGTGAATACCAAGCAGATCACACATCTTCTGGAAAAGTCTTGACTCGAAGTTCCTTGCCCTTTGGTCAGGTGAAGCTCTTAAAGAATTTTCCAAATCTACCTGAAAGACATTATTACTGAATTACCTTTAGCTGATAGTTTCGATGCTTCTTTTGGTTGGATATTGGCAAAACTTCGGCATTTACTGAATAAATACCATCGCCAGCTAAAACGTACTGTTGCCCTTGTGCGTTTCAGGAAATGGGCCTGCAATGTCAACAGCGGTTCTTTCGAATGGCAGTCCAACGCTATATTGTTTCATTTTTCCCTAGATCGAGTGCTTGGTCCTTGGCTGCCTGCACAAGTTTTACATTGTCGACACCCTTTCTTGCATTCTTCACATTAATCCACCCAGTAAAAACGATCTCTCAGCATGCTCAAGGTCTTGTTTACTCCAAGATGGCTCCAGTTTTACCACCGTGAATCTCTTCCAATACCTGGGTAAATTTCTTCCTTGGTACCGTAACTGAGTTGTTACTGCCCTGTCATCCGCACTTTCCCACGTGCGCTTTTACAATCCATTCTCAATAACCAGTGAATTCCACTGAGCCCAGAGAGCTTTGAAAACCAGCCCTCTATCCGCAATATCCTGCCACGGTGGTCTCTCGCCGTTACCTTCCTTGAGCCGTAGTATTGATCCGATGTCTGGATCTTCCATCTGATCTTTCCTCAATTGTAACGTAGTCCATTGTTCGTCAGTTCTAAGCTTAAAACTCCTTATCATAACAAGATGCCTTCGCGTTGTTTCGTTTTACAGCAGTGCTTACAATCGATTTGACAGGGGCTTTCTCGATAAACGTCTGCGGTACCATGCAACTCTTTTCATCAGCACGATGTTTGATTTTTAAATTTTTTTTTTTTCTTTTTTCTTCGCGTTTTAAGTTATATTTTAATTAATTTTTTTAATATAATAAAAAATTTAATTAATCATGATATTTGAGTAATTTAAAAATTAATGTTTTTTTTTTTTGTTATTTATTAAAATTAGTTAAAATGAGTAAAGAATTATATTTAATCGTAATTCATG